AGTTCACTTCCCAAGCTGTTTGATTTAAGCCCATAATGTAGCAGTAATGCAAGTTCCTGAAAACCCAGATCTAAGGGGAAAAAAAAGCATCTTAACATATCCTTTTGTGTGCAAGTCTCAAACTGTGTTTTTATGTGGTCACTGAACTATGTCGGTATGTATGATAAAATGCCTCCCACAGAAACAAGAAACTTGCAAAAATAACACAGAAACAAAATCAAATTGAAGTGAATTGACTTTAACACCTCCTATTTTTCCCAGAAGGTACCAAAATTAACAGTGTGAATTTATTTGGAAATTAGACAAAAAAAACCCCAGCAGTCAGGTAAAAGCTTCTTCAAACAGAAAGGCTCACCATTATTGTCAGCCCTGGTGAAAAAACTTCAAGTTCCTTAATCTGACCTGTCAAGAGTTTTCAGTTTTTGCCAAATACCTTACTGTTATATATCTTAACGGCATGTCCAGCTCAAACTATATTTAGACTGTTTGCTCAAGTCACCTGTGCCAAAAAGAAACAATTACATTATTTTCAATTACCACTGCCATTGCCTGAATTGGAATTTGCGACAGTAAATGTAAGGCTAGATGTTTCTATCCAGTCCTCTGGAAATGCTTCTACTGAAAATCACTTACTAAGAAAACAGAACTTGAGTTTATGGGCATTTTTGGTCGGGGGTTTTTTATGTTAATATTCCACAAGATATGCATTTCATTTATAACATTTAAACTACAAACAAATTTTAAATTAATTTGTTTTCCAACACAGTTTTTCTTCTGTAATTTTATTGTGCTCTCATTTTTTATATATTTTTCTCTTAAAATACAAACATAAAACCAAGCCAAGTAGTACTGGTTGAAGTTATTCTTGTTCCTCTAAGATGACAATCCTTAAAAAAACCACATGCTATGCAAAACAATACCTTCAACACACACCATAACCCCCAAATAGTTCAGCTATTGACTCTACTGTGCTATACAGCCATCTTCTGAATGTCAAGGCATGATGTATAAAAAAAGTACTTCAAAACAAATGCTCATTTAAATCTTGCCACTTGTTTCTTTTCGTAGAGAGCAAAACTAAAACCACACAGCAATGATAACTCCTTCTCTACACAGCTGGGGATTCAACATTTTGTAGGCTGCAGAAACCAAAGCAGCAGCAAATGCCAGGGTCCCACTGCTTCTGAACAGGGCAGGGGGCCCACAGCCCCCTTCACACTCTACTTGATACCACAGACCAATGTAAATTCAGCACCTATTTTGGTATCATCTCAAGACTCAGATTCTGTTGTGCTCAGTGTCAGACAGGGAGACAAATAAACCAGCAATCCATGCTTTCCAAGGATTGCAGTTTTTAACTGAAGTACAGACAGATGATGCCTTAGGAATCAGAATAAGCAAACAAATTCAGATACCTGTTTTGATACCAGTCTTATCTGTGTGATTACATGAACTGATGAAGATCACTTACATCTATTTAACATCTATTTACTTATGCTGCACACTGCCTAGATCAGTCCAATTTCTGCCACCCTTTAAGTATCTTCAAGATCTGTCTTTCCCTTTGGAGGCTGTCAAGGATCTTGCCTTCATCTGAGGCCTACCCTAAACCTATTAAAATAAACCAGTGTCAAAAGAGTGCCCAAAATATTTAATTTGCACATCATCACTTCTACTGCTGTCTTAATTGCATCAGAACAACTTTCACAGCCCTAATCTTACAGTTTAGCTCTTCTGTACCTATACATCTCATCTGGCTTTAGGCTATGATCTGACACTTCTTTAAATCACTGATAACTTGCTTGTCTTCCACAGATGCAAGTCTTCAGAAGTTATCTATGTTTTTCTATTATTTCCATCTTGTCCCTTACAAGCACGATGTGCTCTCTAAAGTAACATACAAATTTTTTGCCTCTCACTCAGACACTGAACTGGTAGCTGGGCAGATGATAGAGTAAGATTTTTCCCATTCAGAGAAATAAAAATAAAAATATGGACAGAGAAAAACAAAATACGCAATTGGCTTAATATTATTAGATAACTACAGTATCTTAGAAACCCCAAAGGAAGATGGAGGCTCCGTTTTGCCATGAGCCACTGGTGAGGGCAATAGACCTTGGCAAAGATCTTACAACATGGGATATTAGGAAATCATATCTAATGTCATTAATATTAGCAATGGAGTACAAAAACACCTCCCAAGAGCTCCAGCTCACCTCTCTATCACCCAGACATACCTGGTGAGCTGGAGGCAGGGCCACCAGCTTGTCAGTGTTTCATGCCCTCAGCCGAACACTGAAGTGCTCTGGTTTCCTCAGATGGAACAGGTGAAGGGACTGTTTTAGGGTTTGTATGTCAGGGGTTTAGTACAAACTTGCAAGAAAACAAAATGCTTTCCCATGTCCTCATTTCTCTTTTGGCTATTAGCTTGAAATGGCATGTGTACCAGAAGATAGAAGCAAGTATTTTAAGCACTAAAAATCATATACTTCTGCAAGCAATATGGTTCATACTATGCACCTAGGACACAATATTTAAGACCTTCAACTGATCAGTGCATAGCAAAAAAATAATCTATGCATTCCTACTGTCAGAATAGTGTAAGATCTAAATGTCAGTTTGTTTTTTCACTTGAAGGAAAAAAACATGGTCTGATAGACTTTATTAAGAAAACAATTTTTTGTAGTGGATGCCCTATCTTCTATATATTTTTCTGCAATTTTCAGATTTGTATTTGAAGATGAAATGTTTCTTCTCATTATTAAACTAAAAGAAAACCCCTAAACAGAAAATAACATACTCTATTTTTCCAACAGTCCCCAGGAACCAGATTCTGACTGCTACACTTGGTGTAAATGCAAAGTCCTACACCTGGGAAGGAGTTATCCCTTGAAACAGAGCAGGCTCTTGATTGAATGACCAAAGAGCTTGGAGAGATGGACCAAAGGGTCCTGGAGGACAGTAAGTTGAAGAGGAGTCAGCAGTGCGCCCTTGCAGTGATGACAACTAACAAATAACAGGCTCTACTGGCAGGAGCATGGCCAGCAGGTTAAGAAAACCGATGACTTCCCTCTATTTAGCACTTATGAGATCACATTTGAGGAAGTGTGTTCAGTCTTGGACCCCCCTCAGTACAAGGCACAGTAGAGCAGGTCAAGCAGAAGGCCATTAAGATGGTTAGAGGGTCAGAACTCCAGCTAGTACAAGGAAGGGCTAAGGGAGCTGGGTGTATTTGGCCTGGAGAAGAGGGGAATTCAATTGTTGTTTTCAGCTAACAAGTGGGGGTTATGAGATGAAGCTAGACTCTTCAAGGTGGTGTGCAAAGGACAAGAGGTGCATTTTGCAGCAGGGGGAAGTCCTACAAGGCACAAAGGGGAAAAGGAAAAAAAAGAATTTCAAGTGAGGGCAATCAAGAAAGGAAAAAAAAGAATTTCAAGTGAGGGCAATCAAGCCCTGGAAAAGGCTGCCATAGTTGTGGGATTTCTATCCTGGAAGATGTTCAAGGCGTAGCACAACCTGTCTGACTCCAGAAACTACACTAAGAGACCTCCAGAGATCCTTTTCCTAGATAATCCTTCAATTCAATGTAGCATCCAGAAACTGAGAGCAGAACATCCCACAAGAAAGTCCTTTAGGGGCTAAACAAATATTAATACCTTTCATCAGGCTAATATTATACTATCCTCAGTGTACAGCAAGTATAACTAACTTCTTCATCATGGCTGGGCTTCGCGAACGAAGATTTGGGAAGGCTCTATCCACATTTGCTACAGGCACGCTGGTGGCTTATGAGGCCAATACGTGACAGACATATCCGATTGCAAAAGGCACAGCAGAAAGACTCCTTAGGTGGTGTATTCTGCAATACACGGTTCTTTCTGCGCTGCCTTTTTTCCTCGAGGGTGATCCTGCGTGTGTTCTCGAAGGAGACAGCTGCGTTATAGATGGTGTGGCTCCAGGCCTCCCAATTTGAGGCCAGAGTAGACCAGTTATGGTGATCAATATGGCCAAGGCTGAGATGTTGTTTCAGGGAGTCCTTGTATCTTTTCTTTGGGGCTCCTCTCATGCGGCAGCCAGTGGCAAGTTCACCATAGAGCAAGATCTTAGGGAGGCGGTGGTTGGTCCTTCATCCTTGAGACGTGCCCTGCCCATCGCAGCTGTGTTCTCAGCAACATGGCCTCAATACTTGTGACAGCTGCCTGTTCTAGAACAGATGTGTTGGTCACATAATCTGACCAGTGGATGTTTAAGATTGAACAGAGGCAGCGTTGATGGATACTATCCTCAGGGTACAGCAAGTATAACTAACACAAGGATTAAAATCCACATACTGTGCAGTCTTATGCCATAATCCACTTTTCCTCAGGTGTTACACTTTGGCCCTTTTCACTGCCTGCCCTGCCAAATCCCTGGATAACCTCTTGACCATGCTCCTCATGACTTCTCCTGGATTTCTCCAGGCCATGCTCAGTGACCCTGGAGCCCTCCCAGTCCCACACTCTCATTTGATTAGCAGGCATCACATCACACATTTCATCCGACTCCTGCAAAGTCACAGCAGTGACAGGACTTCCAGACAGTAGAGCTGCTTAAACTCATCTTTTACTTTCTCTTGCATTTGACAAAATACCATATGCCAGGATTTCATAAAGTCAGTAGGGGGCCTCTGGTGGTCCAGTGGTTGTGAGGATGCAGGACTCTCACCGCTGCGACCCGGGTTCGATTCCCAGCCCCCTGGGCAGATGGAGCTCGTTAGCCCTGTGAGGCAATCCATCTAAGAGAAGGTCACTCTAAACAAACCTACGTTCTGAGACCCTCACTGCCACTGTCCAAGCTTGCTCGGCCCCGGCAGATGAACCTCAGGATTAAAGGGTGGGCTCAGTTCAGCGCACGCTGTGTCTCACCTAAAAAATCCACTGCGCAGGCTCGAAGGGTTAATGACCTTTCCCAAATCTTGGCTCGCGAAGACTGGCCATTATTATTATTATTATAAAGTCAGTCATTTGCAAGTTATCCAGTCAGTTCCCAAGCCTGCTTTCCAATCTTAGAGACTGAAATCCAACAAACTGAGCAAATTTGGTCTTTATAAGTTCCATGCTTAACACCATGGGCAAACTTTTGCCAAAAACTAGATGCCTGCACTAAGACAGTGCATTAAGAGAGAGGGGAAAAAACCCTCCTATTTCAAAACCCAGCACAACAAAATACTTTCGTGTTTGGTTGTGTTTTGGTTTTTTTTCTTGAAAAATATGTATGATAGAATCTCATTCAGAGAAATAAAACCAAAGTTCTTGATATATGGAAGTTTACATACAATCTTCATGAATTGGTGACATTTTTTGAAAATAACAGCTTAAAAATCTCCATCGCAAATATTTCTAAAAGGTATTTTAAGCAATTATAAATTTACTTTAGGTAATACCTCAATATAAAAAATACTTTTTATTTGGCTTATTACTTCCTTGAATTCACATTCATCCTGATGTAGAATTACAAGGAAGAAAGGAAATTAAGAGACTTGATTTTCAGAAATACCAACCGAAATAAAGTAAAAACAGGGAGCTGTGTCTAAGTGTAGGATCTGCTTACACAGATTTCCACAGCAAAAAGCTATCATAAATGAATCTGAAACAGTTTTCTCCTCATGAAATAACAGAACCAAGTGCTGACAGGAATCTACACACTTGTCACAAACTTCTCTTGGGAAGCTTGCCATAAGTGCCTGTGCAATTCTAGGAACAGGTAAGAGCAAACAGCAAATAAGAACATTCTGCCACTGCTCGATTCCCTTAAATATATCTTGAGCTTTTAAATTTTTTTTCCTTATCTGGCACATAACCGAGAATATTCTCCAAATTACCTTTTCACGCAATTATAGTTTTCTGCCAGGGTACATGAAGATTTCTAAAGAACGACAGTGGAGCTGTGTACAAACATCAGGGCTGCAGGAGCACCTTCTTATCACTGCAACAATCTCAGAGTACGCTACGGGGTTTTTTGTGCTGGTGTGACTTTCATATTGCATCAACCCAAGTGTATAAAAATACTGAACATTACAAAATGTAGTATTAACATCAAAGAAAAACTGCTCTGCTCAGTAAATTTTAGTACTTCAAAATGGTTATATTTTTGAAAACATTACTCAATAAGGGAAACCTTAAAAGTTCCTCGATGTTTCAAGTTGGAGTTTTCCCTAGTGTCTCCTGATATGCAATGAATCTTCTCAAATTCATCCTCACATTGTCAAGAACACACAGTTGATCTGTACTACATTGTCCTTTGCCTTCTTTTCGCATCTGTAAAACCAAAAAAAAGTACATGCTTTACTAATGCAGAGGTTTCTCCTATTAGATCAGTTCAAGTTTACTGTAATTCTATATACAGGTCTTCTGTCAGGATATGCTACCCACGGCTTTTGAGAACTCCAAGGTGCTCATGTGCACACGTGGAGCTAGTCAATTTACTATAATACATTGCTGCCTAAAACTACGTTATTGGTATGATATTTCACTCAAATATCTGAAATACACACTTCTTTTCTACAGCTTTTTATATGGAAAACCTTGTACATCTAACCACACAACTGAAGCACCATCAGGTATGTATTTTGTGTGTATAGTGCTTAGCTTTTAGACTATGACAGTCACTCCTCGGGCTTCATCTGATCAAAGAAACAATAGGTGGAAGGTCATTCCCTTAGGTACATCCCAAGGACGTACCTAAAATTAGTTTAGAATGCTGGCTTTGTTATTCTTTAAAACACAGAATACATGATCTGTTTTAACTAACCAACAGCAGAACAAAAGCATCCACCTGCAACTACAAGAAGTAAAAAACAAAAGATGTCAATGTAACTTCAGAAGAGACTTCTCTCCCACTAATGTAGCTGCACTCCTCCAGAGACACCTGAAGGATTTTTTTGCAAGTGTTTCAGAACAATGTAGTGATTTGGACATCAATAATACTGACGGTGTAATGCAGATGTTGCAACAGAGGTGCTCTGCTATCACCTTGACAGTTCCATGAACTTTAAGGTAAGTGTATTTGCTTTCCTCTAAAGTGGAATATCAGAAAATCACATGCTTTTTGGGGGTTTTTGCCATCTTATGAAGTTATACAATACTGCTTAATTACTTCTTCTAGGAGCCCAAATCTCAAAGCTTTAATGCACATTGTGTGTTGAGACCCTGAGCTGGCTGCACTTGATGCCTACCCTTGTTCTGAACACTGGCTGAAATTCCTTCAATGTTGGAAGCAACTTGATCTGCACCGCCGCCTTTTCTGCTTCTTTACCATCTGCAAATACATCAAAAAGTGCATCCAAGGCTTCCCCTGCTACCACAAGAGAAGATTCCTTCATAGCAACTTCAAGAAGAAATTTTCCAATCATCTGAAATAAGAGAGAAAAATTGATTTTTCCAACAAGGGAAAACTGAAAGAAATATCAAAATTCATATAGGTTTGCAATGCAAAGTTTGCTTTTTCACCTTTAGTGTTTCAGCTGTATCTTGTTCTTTTGCCAAGACGCTGCCAGAAATTCCAAGGATGCTCACTACGTTCACTCTAACACTGGCATTGCTGCTGTGAATACCAGCTTCACATAAAGCCAACAGCTGCTCAGGAGTCATACACTGCTCAACAAGGGGAAGGGAGGGAAAGAAGGAAGACATTCACACTTTCATGGAAATTTTCCAATGTGACATTTAGCTACTCTGCTTTTCCAGAACACAGGGAAATTTATAATAGAGAAATAAAGAGCCCTGGATTATGAAAACTACGTGAATTCTGAAAATGTAACTACCAAGAAAACAGTCAAATTCTCCCTTTCAATTTAAGGTGTTTCTTCCAGAACATAACCAATGCTGTCACGAAAGTGAAGGAAAAGTTCTAAGCCCAAAGGTATTTTCACAAATTTACCTTGCTCAATAGCTGCTTCCATCCCATTATAACTTACAGCACAGAAGATCTCATTTTTCAGTTTAAAGCCAGAAAGGACCAGCAGACCATCTAGTATTATGTCTTGTATAACAAAATGCTTCATTCTTGTATTTAGCTCACTAATTCACGTCCAACCAAGATTCTAGAAGGACAACCAGCTTCAACTAGGTGACATCAAGAAATAAAAAATGCGCATTTCTAGGTGCTAATTTACTAAATATTTGTCATTATACCCACCTCCTAAAGATACTACCTGGATTTTCTTGTTTTGAAATACCTTTCATTTGTTTACATGTTAAGAGATAAACAAAACAGTATTACTGTAAGGTCCATGAAAAACATTAAGAGTTGATGCTATTAAATCTGTTCTGTCAGTGTCTGCACCTGCTACTTTGCACTTCATTTAAATAATTTTGTTTCAAAAACTTTCCAGCCCAATCTCACCCAAATGTGAACCTAGCAGAGCATTTGAGTTTGAAAGCTTTTACCTGGGAGATGTTCTTTGATGCCATTGTTTGTAGGAGAGCCCTCAAAGCACTGGTTACGGCTTCCAGGAATTCAGTGTCTGCAGGGAGTTCTGTCAAAGAATTGAACCCAGAGCCAAAAGTTAAACAGTAAGATGAGGGACACAGGAAGCAAACAAATACAAATGCCTTAATCTCTTAATTGTTCCTCCAGGTACTACCAGAACAGGAAAAGCTAGATTTTCAGAGTAGTCTCTGTAGGTTGTAACCATAGTGATTTGTTTGAATTCAGTATTAACTGCATCTGCAGGTTAGACCACAGCTGGTCCTCATTTTGAGGCACATCCCTGGTTGAAACACTTATGTGACCCAACACTTATGGTACAAACCACTGTCATCAGAATGGCAGCTTGAAAACTGGTATAACATGGAGGCCATAATATAGGAACTGAGAAAACTACAGAAGCTGACTGTGTATTTTACCTCCTTTCTTCTGCCTTCTTAAGCAAGCTTTTTAGACACCCAGAACACTGGACTCTTTCCAATTCATATAAAGAGCATGTTTTCCGGTGGTTTAATAACATTTCAGGAATGTATGACTCAAACACTGCATTACTCTCATAACTATGAACTCATCAATATCAGCCATCACCTTCAATGAATGTTCTGTGTTTCTTCAGGCTTTTTATTTTCCTTTAATGTGTTTTTGTTTTCTGGACCACTCCAGATGCAGAACCTTTCAATTCATGCATATCTTCTCCCTTCTCATGTAAGCAACTAGATCTTTATGCCTCTTTTCCACCCTGTAAACCACAGGATTCCTTCTAACCACATGTTGGTATTTTATCAACTCTATCTGGCAGTATCCATTACATAGCATTTAACCATTAAAATACGGGCCCAGGCCATTAAATCAATTTTATTAGCACCATCTGTCCTCAGCTTACAACTTCTCCAGCTTGATCTGAGAACTTTCTGACTATTGCAAAGATTAACAGGTAGACTCAAAATCTTGGAAGTTGTCTCTTCAAGCATGAGACAAGTATTTTATGTGAACATCCTTGTGTATGTCTTCATATGTATTTTCATTTCTGCATTTTAGTTTTTCGAGAACTGCACTCTCAGTAAAAATGTTTTCATAGACTGATCACATGCTTTTAAAGGCATTGAGAAAAAAGTGTGTTCTGCAGGCAGATGCATTTTCAAGCATTAATGCCCATGTCATTCCATACACTACAGCAAAGAACTACAAATGCTGCATCTGTGGCTACAAAGGGAGACATTTGAAGGAAGGGAAGGAAACTGAGCTTCTCGATCTTCTGAGAGACAAGAAATGACAAAGCCACACATATGCTCAACTTCAACAGATCTGTCTTAGGGAAAACGTTTTCTGACAAATTTGAGAATTGGCAGGCTTTTTCAGCCTCTAAGAATATCTCTTCTTTTTTGAAAAGCCATCACCACTTACCTTAAAACAAAAACAGATTATCAGAATAGTCTGCATGAAGCCGAGCCTGTCAGGGAACCACATCATCAGTTTGGAACCAGCTGGGGTTTTCTTGCCTTTTTTTTTTTTTTTAAATCTCAGTTCAGCTTCTCTCATGTCAGTAACAGAGATCACAGTGTAAATGGTCCAACAGGATTATTGAAATGATGCTGATCTCATGTATAGGATTACAGGAAGTAGCTGGAAGTGCTAACTGCTGCATAGACCATCCAATAATAGTGATACTAGCAGATGTATGGGGAAACCTTCACAGTATCTCTATGAAATAATGCACCTTGGAGGAACTATAGTGGATACATTCTAGTGTTTACCAGGATACATCACAGAATAAATGAGGCTGGAAAAAAACCTATGAGATCATCGAGTCCAACCTATGACTGAATATCACCTTGTCAACTAGACCATGGCACTCAGTGCCACATCCAGTCTTTCCTTAAACACTTCCATGGACAGTGACTCCTGGGCACCTCCCTGGGCAATCCATTCCAATTCTAAATATATTAAATATATATATGTATATGATATTCTAAAATAGTATGAAATTTATTACCTTCTCCATTGAAATCAAACCAGAACCAGAACAGGAAGTGGAGCAGCTTTAATATTTAGTCATAAAAACTTTGCACATTTTCTTACTACAAATATCCTTTCAATAAAGCTATGCCATCATAAGCATAAAGCATGTTCTGGAGACAAGGTGGCTGCTCTCTTTCCTACTGTAACAACAATGTACTTTTTTTTTTTTTGCAACAACCATCTTTGACATAATTTCATAAGATTCCTAGAAAAAAATTACGCGAAAGACTGTGCTAGACATCCTCTTTTTAACATTTCTTTAGGCAAGCTAGTCAGCATATTTAAAAAGAAAATGCCCTATCTTCTTCATGGCTTGTGTGATTGATGAAGAACTATTATCCCAAATATGATCAAGCAAACAGTTCTGGTCTCAGCAAGGCAGGATTCATCCACTAAGTGATTTTTTGTGTGGACTCAGATGTAAAGCAGATTTTTGCATTAAGAGCAGACTTGCTCAAGGTGCAGTTTGCATAAACACATCAGGATATACTGTTTGCCAGCACATTTCCAACAGTCAGTATCCTTATATTGAAAGACCAAAGAAATACAGTTAGTAATAAAATGGCGTTAGAACTACCTTATATGATCAGCAAAGGGGGTCAGCAAGTCCCCTGTACTAAACATCTTACCTGTTTTAGAAAAGATCAACTGTGAGAGATGCTGTGCAAGGGACTGAAGTGCTGAAGCTCCTCCAAGACAATCCACATCTGACACTAACAAAATGCTATGAAGACATGTTAAAGCTCTACACTGCACTGTATTCAGTCTGAAACAAACAAATAAAAAAAGCATTTAGCAAATCTCTTTGAAAACACATATTGAAATATAAAGAAGAATCTTCAGTTAATTAAGGTTGTGATCTGGTGTGCAGTTTACAAAAGCATTTTTATCTCTATTCAAAATCCTATATCAGATCTGCCAGTATCCAGATCTTGACAGAAACCCAAAGATGGAAAATCCTTCTAAGAGTTCTAAGACAACTGAATATAAATGAAAAATAGTAAGAGAGACAATGAAATTCCTACTTTTTAATTAATGGTTTCCAAGACGGATTGTGCATACAGATGTCTAGAGCAACACTGTTCGGAAAAGCAGTTTTTTCAAGAATCTGAGGAGGGGAAAAAGAAATGTTTAGCAATAAAGCCTTTATTTTTTTATTTTTTGTTATAGTGTGTTTGGAAGGAAGACTGAAATTTTATCTTGATTCAAACAGATACTTCAAACTATGTATTTCAAAGTTTTCCAGGCAGCAAGTGTCTCACCTGCTAAAAACGTCAGAATTTTGCTCAATAACTCAAATGGTGCAATTATACCCTGAGTTTAGCACAGCATATTTAAGGTATCCAACTCTACTGAACAACAGGTGATTGTCTAGGTTTCTGCTATTCTTTCTTATTTGGCTCTTTCTTCTTACAGATTCCACTACAGAATTTTCAGATAACTGCAAGCGTACAAGGCCTTGCCATGAAACTCCTGTTATTAAGTACAAAAAGCCTTCAAAGTTTTCATCTCGCACCTTGATGTCTTGGGTTGGAATTCTACAATGCTGCTGAACCAGCACAGTAACAATTCAAATAACAAACTCCATCTTTACAACCCCAAATAAAAATGAGCAAAACAACTCTGAAACAAAAACAACTAAATTCCTGTGTCAAATATTGTACTTCAGACACTTTGTATAAAACAGGGTAAGAGGAACTTGCACTTTTTCAGTGCTGACTGTTGCCATTCACACATTACTTCCACCTCATTTAGTTAATATAGAAATCTGGCAGTCATGCTTCATCAAGATTTCCTCTCTTTTTGCAGGTAATTTTTTTCATGTCCAAATCAAGGAATAACAACCTTTGTATTTTGGAAAAAAACCCAAACAAATTAAAAGAAACTCCACCAGCTTTCTGAAACACATGGCTCTTCTATTCCAACTTACATGAATTATTTAGGTCAAGAGAGCTCATGCAATGATGCACCATCTCTAGGCCAAAAAGAGTGAAGCTAAACTCATTAAAAAAATATTCCTTTCCTCCACGTGGACTGGGATAATTTCCTTGCCTAACCTGGGATACAAAGCAGGAATTAGGGGAAGACTGTGCCATGTGTTGGAAATAAAACAGAAGACACTACCTTCTTTGGAATGAGGTTGTTCAGAAACACTGAGCGAACCTCATCAGAGAGGCACAGGGGTGTCATCAGCAGCCCCCCTCCCTCATTGTATGAGTTTTCCATGAACAAGTCACTTTCGTCACTGCTGGAGAGTTCTTCCCACTCGTCATCAGAGGGATCTGAGAACACAAGACAGACTTGTAAATGTAACAGCCCTCACGCAATACGTTTCCTACTTCTCAGTTGTACTCGACTCCACCTCTTAGTTTAGGAATCTTTAAGCTCTTGGGCTCTATGAACTCCTCACAAATCAAGTGCCACTAAGCCACAATTCTAAATATTTTATTAAAAAAGTATTTTATATTCACTCAGGCAACAAGTATTCTCAGGAGGCAGGTTCTTCATACACGGGTACTTTAATCTCTGATATTAACAATGGGTCACTTTATCAAAAAGGGTATGGAAGAAACTTCATAGAGATTTACTAAGATTTTAACTTGGATTGCACCATTTCACTTTTTGAGGTAGATTCAAGCATGTGAAAACACTGGTTTAACTTAAACTGAGTGCAGTTAGTAAAAAAGTTAAGGCAACTGTTTCCTCTAGCAATATTGAAAAGCCACAGACAGATGTCCTTTGCCTGGGCAGTAACTGGGCTGGATGAAGATGTTACTGTCTCCACAGCAACGCCACTTGAAAGGAAACGATGACAGCAAAACAAGCCAAAGCAAGCTAAATAACCTCTGATAGTCATTTCAGGCAACATATTTTAAGTAAGTTAAGCTAGGTTTATAGTCTTAAACCTGAACTAGATTTATACTTACAGATCTGCTAGTACAGTAAGTCATGTAAGGGCAAGCACACATGGTGAGAGGAGTTGAGGTCGTATTACCTACAGGCTACTGTAAAGTGAATAATCTGTCCACAGCTAAAGCCAGTCTTGGCCTAACAAGCACAAGCTCAGTCCATCATTTATATTTAAACTGATATATCTACGTCCACAGGGTTCACACAGATTTATCTAAAGTTGCTTTAAACCTGGTTACATTTTAACTGGTGTTTACCCGAGTCCTAAGTCTACAAGTTGGACTGATTCTCCTCTCTAGAAGACGAAAGCTCTGCCTGCGTATATAGGTCAGGACATTTAACTACTCTGATGAAAAAATATCAGATTTGCCCCCAAGTAATTTTGCCTGACAACAGATTCTGCTGAGATGTAGTAGGTACTGTAGTAACTACAGTAACAGCCACACCACCTCTGTGGCAAAAGGCAAAGTCACTTAAAATACAGCAAGAAAGATCTAGATTAATGCATTTCACCTGTATTGTGCAGAAATTAAGAATGTATTTGAAGGTCATGGCTATTGTTTATCTGATGCAAAGTAACTCATCGAGCTGCAGCAACTTGACCACACAGGCATCTTCTGTTACTCATGGTAATCTCCAATTATTTCTGCAGCCATAATACGGTGGTGTTAACAGCCTTTGCATGAGAAAATGGTTGGCTTTTATTCTTTACCAGGCCATGGCAGCAAGAAACATGAAAACAAAGCAGACATCCCCTTAAGTCTCTTGCCTCTTGCAGAAAAGTTCCATGTGAATCTTTTTAAAGCAAACAAAAATCTCGTTTGAAAACTAAATGATAAGGATATGAGCTGACAATGCAACTCAGCAACAACAAAGACAGCAGTGACCAGGGCAGAGCGGGAACTGGGATCTAGAACATTGGCCTGTAACTATGACCAGGTTTCTTGTAATGTTCTGGGAAACACAGAGGCATTTCCAATGGCAATCCCATCTTAACTAGCACTGGTAACCTCTGAACTACAAACTGGACAGCAGTGCTGGAGTGTCCTGGCTCCCTGCCCATGTCCCCATCAAGGGGAGACCACTCTGCTTCTCCCAATGCCGGCCAGTGCTCAGTCAAACACATCTCTTGCCAGCCTGGTTATTTCCCTCAGCTCTGTAGCAAGCCAAGTGTTTGTATGAACTCAGCATAATGGCTAAAGCTATTTTAGTCCTCAAATAACTTGAAAATTAAATGAACAGCTGCTTCTGGATTCCTCTTAATTTCTACAGCCTATGTTTCTGTCTGCCCATGAATGGGTAAAGCACTGCAGTGAAATACAACACAATCAACCTTACATTACACTGAGTGAATGGCAGAATATGCAGCTTATCCACAAGAGATTTTCCAATTAAAGGGGAAAGCTTATGAATTACAGCTCATTAGATGAGAAACACAGTAATGAAAGGAGCTTCATACACTAGGTACAGAATTTCCTTGTGCTATAAGAGAAAAAAAAAATCACCATTGGGAATAACTGGGTATTACTGTGGATTTTATTAGAACCTGAAAGTTTTACTCAGTTATCTCCTAGAAAATCACTTCTGCATCAGGATAAAACTGTAACAGCAACAGAAGTTTTCAGGTATTGGAGGTTTTAGGGGATAAATTTTGTTTGGTTATTGGCATTTTTAAATAGAATTTGATAATCTCTCATTTGTTTTCCTGAAGATTAGGAGAAAAGCTGTCAAACCTGACTATCAGAGTTCCTAAAAGTTATAGAATATCTATTTCCTACTCCCCTCCAAACAACAGCCTTTCTTCCTCCTCAAAAAAGCTCATAAAGGCAGAACTCTGAAAGCCTAAATCTACATTGTTGCCAGAGTTGCCTGCAAAAGCTGTATCTACTCCTAATTTTGCAACACTTCTAGTATCAACACTAAATCAAAGCTACAAGATTTATCTGCTTTTAAAAAAATCAATGGCCCCATCCTGCAATAAGATTCACACACATATTGTATCAGAAGAACACTCAGACCACACTCTAACTGAACAAAGATTTTGCTGTAACGCTTCAGGAAATATCTCTTTGCCGCAAGTGCTTTTTTGTTTGTAATTAAATGTTGGCACATAGTAGTACCATGCAAAAAAAAAACCATTTAAGTCTCATAAATAACTTAAATGAAAAAAACCACTTGAAATAGTAATAGAAATTACAATCTAATCTGCCCCCCAGACGAGGATATCAGGGACAATACGCCTGTGTGCATTTGCCTTTAAAAGCCAAGATGACTAAATGTGAGCTGCTCAAAAACAAAACACACCACAATACTTGCAATGAAAGAGATTCCTACAAACCTTCACTGCAGCACATATTAACAATGATTTCCAGAGCAGTCTGCTGAGCCGTCAGTAAAGCTGTCACTTCTTTCAGTTCCCACTTATCAGACTAAAAAATAAAAACACGAACCAAATTTGATTTTGTAAAACAACATTTAAGTGCAACTTAAATTACCCAAGCTGTCGGCTAAAAATATAGTCCAGCCATTTTCTCTTCTCATTCTACACCAAAACTCGAAAAAAAACCCCCACAAAACCAAGAGGTGTAAGCTACATTTCTGTTGGATGTTCCAGAGCAAATTTTATCTTCAAGAAATGCCACCTGCACTAAAGCTGTAAGAGAAACAGTTATCTAAAGCTCTAACAGAAACATGTATTCCTGTTACCCTTTTCCCACACACCTCTGAGCCACCTCCACTCATGACTGAATAGTTACAAATCTCACTTGCCATAAACAGAAATCAAAATTCCTGCAGTAGCTGCAGGTAGAAGTGTCAGGTAAACCTATACCTTCCACTGGAGGAAAACCATGGAAATGCACCTTCCTGATGTGCTGTGCAATTTGGTCACATTGGAACAAGTCGTGCTGAAATTTTCCATGCTCATCTTTGAGGTTTTAGCTAAAATAGCCAAGCTGTTTGGGAACCAGTATTAGTAACACTCATAGGTCATTTCCTCTGGCCAGTGCTGAGTCAAGACTAGTCCAACGCTCACCCAAAAGCACCAAGCCCAACAGCCAGCCAGAAACACTTACTGGAAGTAAATCTGAAACATCATTTTCCCTCCTGAGTTTTCCTTTTGGTATTTCTTCCATGTTATCATCTTCACTCAAAACACAGTTGTCCACCACATCACTCATGTTTTCCTCTGTTTCTGCTTCCACAGCAAGTTTTAACCTGTTTTTTTCAGCTTCATTCATACGAATAATTGTTTCACCAGCGTCTATTGCTAATGACTCTGAGAAAACCTTCAGGATTGCATTAACCATGCTTCCCTGGCTGCCTGGTGGAATGGTATCCTTGATATTCCAAATAGTGCCTAAATATGAGATAACCAAAATATGAAAATTACTAAAGTACTCAATTCTCTGTAATAGCCAAATATTTTGTAAGAACACAGCCTGCGCTACTTAAAATACGCAGTGATTATATTCAGTCTTTGTTCTACAGATTTGTATTTTTTTCTGTTTAGCATTTCACATACTCATCTGTAATAACTATGTTATGCCCACATCTTAAGCTCAAGTAAATTTCAGCACATAAATAATTACAGAATATTTATGTGGCCTGGCCTTGGTGTTACTTTGTACCTGATAACAAAATCACACGAGAGAACCATTTTCTAAGGATTGTCAATATTAATTTATTACACTCCAGTATCAAAAATCACCACAGTTAAGCATCTGAGGCAGCAAGAAGAATGCAAGGTAGAGAATATGAGTCAAAAATCTACACCTATTAAGATCAAAACTACTCCTGTATCACTTATTATTGACTTATTTCACTGTTGAAAATCAAAAGAGCAGCTGAAATGCTTTATCACCCTGATCAGGGACTGAATTTAGAGTCAAGCATTTAAGACAGTTTCAAAACCAGTTGTAAATATCTGTTTGCAGTTCCAAAAGGCAGATATAACCTCATGAACCATCTGTATAGGCTTTGACAATCAGATGTCCAGACTTCAGTAGAGAGGACTAAGCTCTCTGTCCTTCCCACCCCCCTTACCTGCCGTGCTCCCCATCACAGAGCAGTGAACACCCTCGAGCCCCGTACCTGCTATCAGTGTTCTCAGAAGGACATGCTTCATTGTGCTCTCTGGACACAACATCACTGTTTCCAATACTCGTAGTGCAGAAGGATTAAATGAAAGAAGGAGGTCTGGATTATCTTCTGTCACTGCCTGCAAGCAGTTTGCTACACCAAACAATAAGAACAAACATAATTAATAAACCCAACAGTAGCTTTCACTCTCCTACTGAAAAAGCATTTTTACTGCAAGCTGGAGTAATGAAACACTGACAGGAAAAAAAAAAAATTTCATGCAGCATCATGTTGTAATGGTAGAACACTGTCTCTCACAACCTGTGTTTTAGATTAAAAGACACTCTATGGCAAACCTGTACACAAAACAGATGAGGACAGTAACACATCAGACATGGAACCAGCTGTATTAATTTCAGCTACTCAAAAATAGATTTCTCCTTTGTATACTGAGTAGTGACAACATAAAAATGTTGGGATCACACACACCTGTATGAGCATTATAAGGCTACAACAACAAACTACTAATAAAAACACACTGAAAGTGACAGGAATTGTTTGGGGTTTTTTTAGATGAACTACGTCCTTTGCTCAACAAATTAAACCCTCCATTACCAAAACCTGCAAACAAAACTAAAAACACAGCCCTCCTCTAGAGCCTTCTTTCCACAAAATTTTTCCTCCCATGTAACCACCAATAAGTCATTCTCCTTTGGACTGAAAACAAGCACAACAGATACAAACTTCTGAATTATGTGCTGTTCAAAAACGAATTTGAAATCTTATATTCAGTGCAAAGCTCAGCAATGCTAAGGCAGGTGCATCATGCAATGCCTGCAACATCAATGTTACATTTATATAGTAAAGAAAAAAAAAGTATCTTTAAGTCCTTATCTTGTCTTTTTACCACTTACCTACTGAAATAGCCAGATCCACATTTGTGGAAAATTTCTTCATGTAATGCAACACAGCCTTCAGACACCCTTCTTTATTGAATATGTACACAGCAGTATCGTTGCATTCACTATTGTATGAAAAAGATTAATTAAAACACTTTTCCCAGGGAAAAAAAAATACTGTAAAAACATTTTAAGTACCCCATACTCACTATTACTCACAGTTGTAAAACTGTGTAACACAGTTGTAAAAACTATGTAAGAATTATGCATTAGTCAAAGAGCTATTCTTCATTACTGAGGTTATGATCAACTCTATATAAATATGCTGAAAGAGAAACTGCAAAATCCTGGACACAGTTGGCTTCTGCCAGCTGCTTCCTCACACCCAGTGTTTGGGAGTTTATTTGGGAGCCTAAATACAGATGTGGACAGGTCCAGCCAGAGAGTGAAAGGCAGCTGCAGGCTACAAGCCAGCCCAAGGCTTTCTGCAGCCATAGAAAACTTCACCCACAAACCCAGTGACTAGAGCTGCTGCCTCTTGCATCAATATTTATTCACTCCATAAAATAACTGCTCTTATCATTCAGACATGCATTTACTTTAATTATCTAACAGTGGGATCTGTTTCTTCAAGTTTTCCACAGCTATTTCCTTTTTTAAACTAATATATTGATACAAGACTAATTCAAACCAAAAAAGCATGGGACCTAACCAGCTACAAGGATCTTCAAGTATTTACTTTTAGAAATATTATGTCTCAGCACCAATGCCAGCCCCAACTTTATCAGTACCAAACTTAGCAATGAAGTCAGTAGTTCATTGCCACAAAGTTCAAAATACAAAGGCAATTTATGTCACACTTAATGATTATAGTTCCTTTTCCAAAGCAGTGACTACAAAAGCCAAAAAAAAAAAATGAACACAACACTGTTGAGTCAGAGTCACAAAGGGTCATGTATTCTGTGCAAGGTGCTGAGCAAGCAGTTTCTCTACTGTTCTAGACTCCAATCCCTAAAAAAAAAAAATCCCAATTTAGAAATAAGGCCTCAAGCCAGCAGCCATATCACACAGGCACAGAGGCAACTCCACTGAAACACTGTACAACACTAAAGAAAATCCTGTATGCACCAAGGTGTATAACGATGTGAAGCTGCTAAAACATGAAGAGAAACAACACAAAATTCAAGAAAAACTTTCAGAATAAGCTTCAATGTTCATAGTCATTTCTGTATTAAGTGTTGCCATTTCTCTTCCTTCACCTGGTATTTCCAATGTAAACTATTAATTGAACAATTCACATTATTTCTCACATAATTAAGTAGATTTGTATCAGTGTCTGAGTAACTAAGGGATAGTTGGTCTAAATATTTAATATTAGCTTTTGGGATGACCTATAGAGGGAGGAAGTAGTATAAGAAGTCCTCATATTCCCAGAGCACTGGAGTCCACTGATCAGAATTTAATTTTCTCCATCTCTCATCACACAGTAAGGATCTACAGGAACTGCATGCAAGACATCACAACCCAAACTGCATCTCAGACTGTGACAGAACATGTCCAGAAAACAAAATCAGAACTCAGGATGAACAACCAATAGAAAAAAAAATTGTCACTCTCCTAACACTATTGACCAACTTAATGGACTTTCAGAATCCTTAATTTAAAAAAGTAATTTATGGCAGAAGATAAACCTGTATTTCAGATCAGATTAGGGCTCACCATTATTAAAGGAAAACACATGTAGGAGCAACACAATCAGAAATCAGAATCAGCAACTGGATATATCTTCCCATGCCAGGACAGTAATTTCTTTTCTGCCTCAATCACCAGGCTGCTTTTCAGGAATAATTTAATTTAGCTCTTTTAAAAGCCCTGGATTTTCACAGCACTTACCATATATTCCACAGCAAATTAATAGCTTCATCGGCTATGTCTTCAATATAATTTTTGTTTGTCTCTCTGCATTTCTTTGGAGAGAGCTGGTTGGCATCTAGCTCAGTGCTACACTACAACGAAACAAGAGAACCAGGGTTGGGAAACAAGCCACAGTGTTTATTACCAGAAAACCTGACTAGTTTCCTATTCTCTAAGAAAATTTACCTACAATGGAATTGAATCACTGGTAACTTTTCTCTTGTAGAAAGACTCTTATACTACTCGCTTTGCATTCAGTAGTTTTTAGAAGCATTTTTTAATTAAAAAAAATCCAACTTGACAGTTTTAGAACCCTAAGTGCTGTTTCTTGCTAATAGCCCGTATGAAATTGTCAATAGTTCTTTCTAATCACACAGATTAATTCAGCTAATATCTTGCTATGCTTTACAATAATGCTATTACTCAATTTGAAATGGGGAAGGAACATACAGAAAACGATGGTATTGCTCAAGGCTGCTCATACAAAGACAGCAGGTGACAGAATTCAATGCAATTTCCAAACTGCACTGCAACACCTGGACCAAACAAAGAATAGGTATTCAGTACAAGTTATCCTACAGTACCCAGCTGTAAACCCAAGCTTTCATTTAGATAGAATTGCTCACCAAAAAAAACTCACTAGAATAATGTTGCAACATAAATGTTGGACCTGGATTTTGACTGACACAATAAACTGGTCTTGACTGAAGCTCCAGACCCAAAATCTCCAGACCTTTCATGTAAAAATCATCCCAGGGTGCAAGCCTCGCCACAGACCAAAATTATCTGGTCAGGAAACAGAAGCTAGTGGTGTGAAATCTCTGGAATAATTTTTGTACCATTAAATCTATTGAAAATCCTTTTAAAAGATCTTTCAAATATCTTAATAATAGCTAAAAAAATTGAACTATTTTTGTTAGTGGGATAATTCAATGGATAGATCAGTTTTAAAATCAGAATAAACACACCTCTTTCAGAAGTGCAACAAGGGGTGTCATAATGTCACTTGTCACCATGTCATCACAGACTTCAAATCCTCCACAAGCACTTAGATTTCTGGGGAAAACAAAAAAAAAATGCTTTGGATCAGATACAATACTTTCCAGGAATGTTTAAAAAAACCCATGTATTCTATATTCTCGTCTAAAGGTTATGGCACTTTTTGTTTTAAAATCAATTTGCTCAATCAGTAACTTTAGTCTTCTATCTCCCTAACACAAAAGAATAACTTTGGTGGTAGGAAAAGAATATTTTCACTTACTTGTCAAGTGTAACAAGAAGGCTTATGGGTACTAAAACATCAAGACACAAAATGCCACATGAACTGCATTCAAGTTCTCTATATTTCTTCATAAAGCCATATATTTCCAGCATAAAGCCTGCTGCTGACATTAGAGTCTCATGGAGCAAGAAAAGCCCCTCTCTTGCAGACTTCGGCTGATGTGGGTGTACCTACTGAGGCCGCAGTTAAAGCAAGACAGGCTGGCGTTCAAGTTCATGGCTGTCAACAACAAAACCCTACTGTTTTCTCTCCTGTTCCAGGATTACCCCATTCCAACTGCTTACCGGAGAGCACCTGCAGCTGTTTCCCGAACAGCTAAGCTGTGATCCATCAGCAGTGGCCCCAAACACCGCACAATGTCCCTCTGCAGGAAGGCTGGGATGACGTGCTTCTGCTGCAACAGCTTGGAAATACTGGCACAGGCATACTCTCTCACTTCAGCACTGGGATGCTGCAGCTGGGGAGACACAAACAGGGCAGATCGGGTTGCGGGAAAAGGTAGTTGGAAGTTTTACTGATCCTGAATGGAAGCAAGAGCTTTTAACTTCCATGAACCTTTACAAATCTTTACCTGAGTTGTGTGTGTTAACTATATGAGCAGATAAATGCTATTCTGGGTGTTTAACAAGAGAGCCGCAGTCCAGACACAGATTTGACACTAGCTGGCACTGGTGAGACCCCGTATCTACATTAAATTACCATGTATTTAGAAGAAAAAAGGACAAATGGGGGCAATACAAAACACATGCTACCAGCAAGAAAAACAGAAGAATCAAAAAATAATAATAAAAAAATATAGCCTTTAGATTAAAAGCATCTGCTTAACAACAAGAAGCAAGTGTTCTCTACATCCATAAGATGATGCTGACTTGTGCTGTAACAGGGTTTTAGGTGAGATATAAGAATTGCAGATCATAAAAAATAATAGAACAGCAGAAGTGTATATCCTGGAAGGTGACAGTTTGTTGAAAATCTAACAGAAAATGTAAACGCCTGATGAAGAGCAGACCAGAAGAGTGGTACATCACATCCTACCTCACTGACACTGACAGAATCCCTCAGCTCATCCTCACCTGAGTCTTTATATACTTTCTCTCTCTCCATTTTAAGACTAAATAGGTCAGTCCAGAAGAGTAACCAAGCAGTGATTTGTTCAATGAGTTCAGTTCGATAAAGTGAACAATGGGGACTCAATCACTTGAGGGGAAAACAGATTTTTGCTTCTGATTCTAAAGTCACGTGTGCAGGAGGAGGTTTCCATCCCTTTTCATCTGCAATGCCTAACTCAGAACCAGGACTGCGGCCCAAAAGTGGCCAAACTCATCTTCCATCAGTTATCCCTCACGTACGGCTCACGGACTCATCGCTCTGGCCACCTGTAGAACTCTCCAGCCGCGGGGGGCGGAGGGGGGTGGCGAACAAACCCAAGCACCGCAGGAGCTGCTTCCCAGCCCCTCCTGGGCCGAGGGCCGCGGCCCTGCCTCCCGCCCGCTGCAGAAGGCGAGACCGGGGCCGCGGGTCCCGGCGCTGCCGGTGCCGCCCCGCCGAGCCGCGGGCGCAGCCGTGACGCCGGGAGAGCGACGGGCGGCGGGAGGGAGGGAGGGAGGGGCGGTGGCCCCGCCGGGCTGTTCGGCTTCTCCCCGCCGGGGGGGCGGCTCCGCGCCCGACGCCGCCGGGGGCGAGCCCAGACATCTCCCCCCACACCCGCTGCCCCGAGAGAGGGTCGCGCCCCGCCCGCACCTTGTCCAGCAGCTCCGCCGCCGGCTCCTCCTCGGGGCCGGGCTCGCCTTGCTGGTGCTGCCCGGTGCCGGCGGGGCCGAGGCCCGGCCGGCGGAACCGCCGCGGTCGGCTCTTGCCCATGGCTGCGCTCGGCGCCGGCGCGCCCACGTGTGCGGCCCCGCGCAGGCGCTGCCCCCGCCCCGCGCCCCTCCCGCAGCCGGCGGCGCGTCACGGGCACGGCCCGGCACGGCCCGCACCCCGAACCGGCACCGGCGGCGCGTCACGGGCACGGCCCGGCACAGCCCGCACCCCGAACCGGCACCGGCGGCGCGTCACGGGCACGGCCCGGCACAGCCCGCACCCCGAACCGGCACCGGCGGCGCGTCACGGGCACGGCCCGGCACAGCCCGCACCCCGAACCGGCACCGGCTGCGTCCCGCTCCTGCCTGGGGATGCTCTGCGTGTTTCCCCAGGTCAACAACTCAATAAACGTCACATGAAAGAGTTTCCTCTAAGAGCACTTACAGAGGCAGGATTGACCTGTAGGGTGGAAACCTGGCAGGGGGTTTCTCTCTCATGTAGTTCTTATAATCTAAGATACTGACATCAAATACAGGAAAAGTTGGTCCGGTATGAAAGTTAGACTTCAGCTACAAATTTTCTTTTAAGTTCTTCTGCGTTCGCTGGAGATCTGTGTTTGCACGGTACAAAAGAAGATAACGTTTTGTTTATACAAAGGATTTATTTTATACACATTTACCTACAAAATATACAGCAGTTAAAAATAATGCGTGGGCAGAACCATTACTGGAAAAAAAATCCAGAAGACAATTCTTAATGTCTTAACTGACAAAGTTACATCAATAGGCTGCCTTTAAAAGCCAGTCTACCCTGTAGTAGGAGTTACTGAAGTTGCAAGAGCTTTGCTGTTAGAGTCAATTTAAGGAGTTCAAAACAATTAAAAGGCACCTTGAACAACTTAAACTTAAAACTTTATAGTTTTAGCTATTCAAAAGTTACACTTTAAGCATATTTCATCCACACCTCGTTGTTAACGCTCTGAATAACAATTTTTGTTATTTTCTTGTGGCACTCTATAATTTTCTTTACCAAATCTGAAGTTATACATTTGCAATACTATTTTCATGTTCTGACTATCACAGCCTAAAAATAATCCCCTCAGAATGTTCGGGTGGACTTTAGATACAGTACAACCTTGCAATCAGGAAGATACAAGCATGTTTAAGACAACTTTTAAAATATTAAAATCTTAAAATAGCAGTGTTTTGAACCAGATCAAACAAGGAACTATGTATGACCACAAGGAAAGTGGCTGGTGCACTATATACACAACTCGACAAATGTGATCCTTGATATATTTGTGAAGTTCTTAAACAGTAAGACCAGTTTTCTCCAGCACAGACAGACCGTCTTCCTGTGAGCCTTTTAACCAGTTCCAAAAAGAGTGACCAGGAGACAAGGACAGCTGTAATGAGGAAGTGTGCTAATAAAACATCAGGAGACTGGGAAGTGTTCCTCTCAATACGGTTCACGGGAACAAAGGAATCCATAAAGCAAATATTACTTCTTTTCCTGAACATTGGCATTGGTGTGCTATTTACAATAGCTTACAAAGACATGTAACACAAATGAGGTTTCATTTTCAAGTTCAACTTCATTGCCGATTAACATACTTCACTTGTATGTTCTGTTCTAGCTGAAGTAAAAAAGTGAGACTAATACTGAAAAAGAGGTAATCAGAAGTAGCAAAAGCACTGATAATGTGATAACAAAGAATTTGGATAAATATTCAAGAAAGGAATATTGCACACTTTCACTGTCAACTGTGTTAAGACTTTCACTCCCAGGCAGTGACAACCAGTCCCATTTGTTTTTTTGCTGTCATACTACCTTAAAAAAGGTCATTTTTGGTTTCCATGGCAGTGGAAAAAACTGAAGGAAGACAGCCCTTATTGAACATGAGGCCTAGGTTTCAATATTAATTTTCCAGTCTGCAAGAGAGACAAAAAAAAAAAAAAAGTTTAAACCCTGAAAGTTGAGCCCAACAACTGCATTTCAAGTTCAATATTACAGGCTGACTTTAAAACAACACAGAGAACAATACTGAGCATTTCACATTCCAGTGTTACAGGTGCACAGAATTTGTTGAGGTGTATACAAATGCTGTTCAGAAAAAACCCCCGTGTGTCTTTTTTGAATTGTTTGCCTTTTTTTTTTTTATATACAAACAAGGTTTAGGCAATGAACCACCAACACTTACATCATCACAGGACATGTTATATTCTGCCAAAACAGTTCGACACCGGGCTGCTATACTGTGTGGATTGTGTCAAGGAAAGCAGATAACACTTGTACACAGAGTAAGTAAAAACTGAAACAGCAGCATTAGCACAGACTTCAAGAACAGCAGTAACTACAACACTTGTAACTTGACAAACACAATTAAAGGATACATTGATGGTGCCACCACTCTTTTATGTATTCCAGCAAAGAACAAGCCTATTAGGGTAATACAGCTAATTGTGAAAAACGGGTGATTCCAAAGTGATGTGAAAAACGACACCTAGAAAAGAAATCAGATTATTCTAACTATATACTTTCTAAAACATACAGAAAGTTGCTGCCTAGTTCTCTTAACTAAAAATAAAACACTGCTCCTAGCCCTCTCGAAGTAGTTGTGAACAATTCTTCGTATCAGCACTCAAGGTGTATGCCCCAGGACATATTCCACAACAATTCCAGACAGCTTGAGAGCTTTACTAAAAACTGTCTTCCAGTTTCACATAAGAACCAGCCTTTCAGTTAGCCTTTCAGTTTTCAATATACCACTTGACTGCAGCACCAAGCTAAGAAACAGAAAACGTTCAGCATCAGCCTGATCTTACCTTCTGTGTCTCCGGGTCTATTAACCAGTTCCAAGCCCCAGTTGCTGTGCAAACTGATACCACTATCAGAATCACTGATGAAGAAAAGAACAAGAGTCATAAACAGTATACCTCACTCATTTAAAAGCATTTATTTTTCAGCAGCAACTTTTAAGCTTGTATTTCTTTTCCTACTTCTGCATGAGAAAAAGCTTCTAATTGGAGGCAGAAATGAAAATAGGTGAAAAAACTACCAGCAAGCGAAACTGTAAAGATTCTGTACAAGTTGGTACCAAAATCTAAATTGTCATGCAGAAATATCCCAATTCTTTGAAGAAACCAAAGTTTCTAAAAAAACATGGATATTAAAAGCATGAGTTGCTAAGTAAAGTAAGATTTGTACCAAATGTTCACTTTGCTATTTGAGCTAGTGCACTTTGGGCAACAGGAATGCAGAACCCTCAAACTGCAGAGCCGAGCTAAAGTTTCTCTCCCCCAAGTTCATCTGCATAAGGAAAGCCTGAAGCAGTTTCAGTGGCACAAGTTGTGTTCCTCTCCCCATCCCAATCGACACAATTACAAGCAAGGAAGAGGCAAAAAAAAAAATAAACAGGAGTCAGGAAGCATGTTAACATTAGCACATGAATATTAGCAAAAACCTCTACATATCCAGAATGGCTCAGGAAAAATAATCAATTCACTGTAAATGAATAATGTTAGATACATATCAGAGTAACACAGCATCCTGGACTGATTTTGAGAGACTACAAAGGGTTGGGGAACTGGGTTGATGGAGAAAGAAAACAGAACAAATATAAATGTAGAGAAACCTCGTATTATCTTGCACATCCATAAAGCCTTGCAGCTTTCATCGCAGTGCTTTCTGTGGAGCCTGAAGCTCTGGATGCAAATAAAGTTTTTACTGGAAAGGAAGTGGGCAGGGCAGGGCAAAAAACAAAAGCCAACAAATCAAACCACACAAAAAAAAAAGGAAGAGAAGGCCCAGAATTACCAGCCTTGAGGATCATAGGAAAGAACCTGGAAACAAAACCCAAAAATTCACTAAATACTACTTTTAGGTTTGCAAGACTGCTATAATTTGCTATTGAGTTGCATATTCCTTACAGATATTACAAATTTTAAAAAAATAGGGACTCTGACAAGTTAAGTTTTCAAAAGAAAGAAAGTTGAAAAAGATCTATCAAAAGCACAAAGCTTCTCTACAAAACACATTTTTTTCAGAATAACAGGAAGAAAAGCAAACATTGAATTAAATACCCTGTTACAATTAAAGTAGAAAGTTCCTCTTTTATGGGAACTGTAACATTAAGAAAATGAGTAGTTTGGGAAAAAAACATGAATTACAATTGAATACAACACTAGTTATGCAAACCTCATTTAAATATGCCTAGAAGTTTTCAGTATCTTTTTTAATTATATCTGACAGTAAATAACAATTCTGGAAGCCAAATGCATTCCTACAGTAGGTATGCACAAGTTTGGCAGATGTACATATAAATATCTTCCTGCCTCCTGATTGCTCTGAAACAAGGGAGCTTGAAGCGGTGGTAGTGGTGTTTGGTTTTGCTTTCTAAGTAGTCATTCCTTCATTCAAAATTGACCTCTCAGGACAAAAGATGCTATTTTATATGTGCTAAAAAACATCAGTATTCTTCGAGTAGGGAAACTTCAGCAGAACCTCACAACAAAAAAAGTTGGGTGTTTCCACCACAGACTACTGATTCAGAAGTTGGCAGCATATCTGTGGTATCTTTTGACCTTCCTCCTCCTTCAAACTTCCCTGTTAGAACAGAGCTGAAGACATATGCTGCCTTTATGGCACACTGCTGTAACTTTTTCACCTTCAGTTTTATAGGGACTATCTCACTTACATAAACCATATTTAGTTTATATAACTACAGTGACTATCAGAGAAGTCTGAGTCTCAAAAAAAAAAGCCCAAAACAACATAAAAACCAGAATAAAACAGAAAAAAAAAACCACAATAACTTACTGTTCCAACTATTTCCAGAATAATTCAGCCTTAAACCAATTCAATTTTATCCTCATTTTTCTAACTCTGGCTAAAGTATTAGTTTATTATCCTGTATTACTTGTTGCAGTCTATGCAATGTATGCCACAAATTTTAAAGAAAACTTAAATACAGATTTTTGTTTGGGCAAACTTAAATCAGAGGTACACACTGGTAAATCTAAAAAGCTTAAAAGACAGAATCCTATTTATGCCTTGGAACATTAAACTTACTTCTCCAACGTCCTGTAGCTGGTTGCAAACATGCAATATATTCAGTAAGTCTTCTTTCAAAAGCTTTGAGATCTGGGGAGGATGTATATTAAGCATAATTAGATCTTCATCTATTTAGTCACATTTTAATGTAAAAGATGAAAGGAATTCACTTTTCCCCTGTGCATACCCACTTAAACAGGCAGAGAAAACCAATACAATGATAATTTAGATGCAATAAAAGCCCAGGCAAAGTAGTTTTGCTCAACTTCAGATAAAAAGTACAGTGACAGAGTTAAACTAAATGCAAGAAACATTCCCACTAACAAAAAAGAAAATCAATATAGATGGGAAATCAGACTATTTTAGGCATTTTTAAAAACACTGAGAGTTAGATTCTAAGTAGCTTAAATTGCCTATCAAAAAAAAAAGTATCACATTTTGGACTATTAAGTACATCAGGAAACCATTATGTTCTACTATCTATGTTACAGCAGTTTTAAAAAAAGGTTAGCCATTTGCCAGCTGTTCAAGGGATTATTTGTAGCAGTGTGGCT